AAGCTGACACACAAAAAATATACCAAAAGTAACCTGCTCTGTCTTGTCAGTTTCTTCTTGCTCCGCTCAAATTTTAGAATTAGTCTGATTCAAAGGATAATCAGAAGGCTGAATCCTGACTGACAGAGGAGGAGTTGGGGATGGAGGAGGGTAATTAGCTATTGAGCAATGCGAAAACTGCTGATAATACTCAGGGACCTTATATATGAATGCTTAGATAGGTGTCGTATTCCCATAGGTTGATGGGGATCAGCTGAGAGTCAGCTGATGCGAGCTTGACTAACGTGACCTGCCAGAACTAACGCTACACTAGATTAACGACTTTATTCAACAATTTCAATTGTAATGAATGACAGTATTTTAATTTTTGGTTGAACTATCCCTTTAAAATACTCAATTAGTATGCAGGGTGATCAAGGCTCAAATATTAAACTATAATTTTTTTAATAATAAATCAAGCAAAACTGCGACTGAACTTATCAGTGTTTTACAGGAAAAAGCATGAGGGCAAGTAAAATGATAAAATTTTCAGGAATTAAGGAAATGAACTGAAGAATACGACATTTGATTTATTTTAAAAGCATGAAATTTGTATTTATCTAGTAATTTTGGTAACACTACAATAAAGTTCATTTTGAACAGTGAACTCTTCTATTTTTATTAACTAACATTAACATTATCTAATGTTATCTAATGGAACCTTTTTGTAAAGTGTTACCATTTTTTCAAGTTACTTTCAAAATCCTCTCGGCTCAAAAGTCTGACACATAATGTATCTGCTTCTCATCATCACTAAATCTTTTTTTCTTGTAGGGTTTATGCAAACAGCTAGAGGAAGTATGTTCTATTCAACCTGTGCGGTTACATCTGACTCCTGAAAGCACTGTAAAGCAGGTGCAGTGAGAATAAATGGTAGCTGGTTCACTTCACATTATGTGTATGTTTTTTTTCTGGTGTTCCTCTATATAATGCGTGTTTGTGTGTGTTCTGTCAGGCTCATTGCATCATGAGTGCCACGGGTGAGCAGCGTCTGTTTATAACGGAGAGTGGGCGGCTGTGTGGCGTCATCACATGGAAAGAGGTGATAAGAGCAGTCTGCACAAGGACAAACTTGTACACACACACATACAGCCATACACAAACCAAATACTGATGAATACACCGCTCACACTGACTACATGTATGTTTAGGATGTTCTTATGACTCCTAATTTTTCTTCCAGATGAAGAAAATAATCGAAGAGATGGCGAAGGAAGTCTGATGCATGGACAATTAGCTCAGACATCCGAATCACACACCTAGGACAGGCATCAATTTGTGCTTCCCATTTTGATAATCATTTCACCTGCTGGTGATTTTACTCAGATCATTATGTGGATAATTATTCATAGTGAAATAATAAAGAAATCTTTTGAAATGAAGCAGCAATTTAGTAGGGTACAACAGGGATGAGGTTTCTCCAATGTAAAATATTTTACTTATTCTAACTTATATAACAAAAATAGCAAAACCACCACCAGAACACTTTGTTGAACATCTGTTTATGGCAAAATTTTACAAAAGGGTTCATTTTAGGACTCACTGATCTACCTTAAAATGTCGTTTTAAATATTTTTTCAAATGTAGATTTATGGGACTAATGAAAATCTAATTTACCAGGGTGATTTTATCATTAGTTGTTCCACAAGTGGAAGGATAATATTTGTGACCTTGGACCACAAAACTAGTCATAAGGGTTAATTTTTTGAAATTGAACATTGAAATCTGAAAGCTGAATAAATAGGCTTTCCATTTATGTGTGGTTTGTTAGGATAGGACAATGCTGTATTTGGCTGAGATACAACTATTTGAAAAACTGAAATCTGAGGGTGCAAAAAAAATCTAAATATTGAGAAAATAGTCTTTCAAGTTGTCCAAATGAAGTTCTTAGCAATGCATATTACTAATCAAAAATTAAGTTTTGATATATTTACGGTAGGAAATTGACAAAATATCTTCATGGAACATGATCTTTACTTAATATCCTAATGATTTTTGGCATAAAAAAAAAACAATAATTTTGACCTATAGAATGTATTGTTGGCTATTGCTACAAATATATCCGTGCGACTTAAGAATGGTTTTGTGGTCCAGGGTCACATTTGAGGTACAAACCCCTTTTATTGCATCTTGAAAAGAAATAGTCAGATATGTTGGCTGAAGAGGAAAATGCTATGAAATGTTTATACACATTTATATGTTTATAAATGTTGCTCAAAACATATTGCTATACCAAATATTGTTGAATATGTCTATTTTGCCCTAACACAGGTGCTTTGAGAGCTGTACTATATCAGCTCTATGTAGCTCTCCCAATGGACTTTTTTTTTAAGATGTATTTTTTTTGTCATTTTCGCCTTTATGATGATATGGACAGATCAGAACTGACAGGAAGCGAAGAGGGAGAAAGATAGGGGGGTGGGATCAGGAAAGGTCCTCGAGTTGGGGATTGGAACTCGGGACGCTCGTAGTGCAACAGCACTATATGTCAGCGCTCTGCCCACAAGGCTATCGGCGCCAACCTCCAACACTTTTATATTTTCATGGATTTCAATCAAAGCAAACTTCTTTTATTATTTATTTTTCACAAATTGTGTGCCTCCACCAATTTTTGATAAAACAGAATATATATTCTCGAAGAGTCACTTTGGGATTAAAGGTCCTGTCGTACCTATACTGCTGTCATGCTGTATGGATGGATCAGATAAAAGAGCCTGTATAATATGATGTACATGTCTAGAGTTTGAATGAAATTAGATATCTGTTTGTAACCAGTGCTTGAAGTGGGCCGGTACGCAGTACGAGGGCTATCATTTAGTCTTTAGCATACTGGCACTTTTTCGTGCGTACCGGCACTTCTGACATGTTGCCGGTGTTGTGCCCAATTCTGACCCCGGCAGATTATTACCCCCCTAGTATTGGTAGGTTTAGGTTTAGGTGTGGGGGCGGGTTTAGGATTAGGCAATCAGGTAGCGATTTCAACGAGGGGGGTAATAATTTGCCAGCGTCAGTGTCTGGGTGATTAGAAATTACACTATAAAGCACACTACCCAGGAGGTCATTTGAAACTGGTAAACTTCTGGAAAGTTCAAGATTCCAGTAAGGGAATGCATTAGTAATAAGTAATAAGTTCAAAACAGCGCTAATGTAAAGAAAACACAGACGATTTCATCAGAGATGGCGGAGAAAATAGTGACTCACGTCCAGATGGCAGTAAATTAGTACCGGCACTTCTTTTTTTCCACTTCAAGCACTGTTTGTAACCTCATGCAGCTTGTTAGCTTTATGAGCCTCACTCTGGGAGAAAGAACAGAACAAAGGCTTCAGTAATAAATGACCTTCGTTTAATTTCTCAACCATCCCAATTCTGTTCTTTTCTCTGTTTTTCGTTCATTATTCCTTGTGCTTTTTTCTTAGAAAAGGTTTTATAAGAATTCATTTAAATTCAGTGTATTGTTCCTTAATATATCGTGTTGAAATTGAATTCCAGTTACAAACACAATCGCCCCAGAGCCTCTATCAATACAATTAAATCCTACTTCAAATCCTCCCCTAGAGCACCAAAGCAGTCACACACATTATCTGACACCACACGAGGATCACACTGTGTAAACTTCTATTAAAAGACCCTGGAGCATGATAACACTTGACCATTCCACCTCCCAACAGCCTCCTCTCTCGCCCTCTCCTGCTTCTGCATTTACTATAATCCCCTCTGTCGCTGATTCCCCTCTTCTACCTCATCCCTCACTATCTCTCTCTTTCCATCACCTTTCTTTGTCAGTGGAGTGTGAATAGGGCTAATTACGGAGAAAAGGCAGACGATTGTTATTCCAGCTCTCGCTCTTTTGTCTCAGACGCGCGCAAGAACACACAAGAATTTTCTTGTTAGCAAACGATTTCTGCCGCAATAGATCTTTTAAAGATTAAATCATAATTTTTCAAATACAAAGGATTGCACAAAATGGTTGACACAATCATTAACACAATATGGAGGCAAGTTACTCAAAGTTATCTGTGGTAATACTTTTTTCAGTTCTACATATACATGGACTTATAAATCTGTAGCAATTGTGACCATACCCCCTTTAAAAAAAAGAAAAAAAGAAAAAAGAAACAAAGCTGAAGTGTGTAATATTACTAAAAATATATATTGATACTAATAATATTAACATTAATATTAATAAATCAATTAATTGCTGCAAGTAAGCCATTTATAGTTTGATTTCATTTCATATTTCACTGTAGTATTAATATTATTCATACTATTTAATATTAATCATGATTTACAATTTTTTCAAAAAGTAAGCCATTTGTAGGTTGAGTTAATATTAAGATCATATTAATCAATTAATTGCTACAAGTAAGTCTATATTTCTCATATTATTCTCAAAAATTATTCATCTTAATTAATATTTTGAATATTTTTTACTATAAGTAAGCCATTTTTACATCAATTTCATCTCATATTCCATCTTAATAACATGAATATTATCAATCTTAATTAATACAAATAATATAGATATTCACAAATATTAATTACGTTACATAATATTAATAATAAATAATCTTTTTTATACAACAAGTAAGCTATAGGTCAATTTCGCCAAAATATGTAAACACTGGTGCCCTGATGGACTGTGAGTATTCCGACTAGCGACACTGGCTCGACCAATGGCATGAGTTTGGGGCGGGGCTTTCTTTTTTCCAACCAATAGCAGATGGTGGGAATGTTTAGAAATTGTACTTGAAAACAGTCAATATTGTGCAGTTCTGTTTGGTGAGGCTATTAAAATTGCACACTTCAGCTTTGAGGATACATGTAGTCATTTGCTGTGTTAGACGTTTTATACTCAATCTCCATGGAAACATTTAGCAATATGAAAAATCTTTAAAATCTCCACCTCACTGCCCCAAGTAATAATTGCGGCTTTGCTCAAAGGCATAAGTCACTTTCACCCTCCAGAGTCCTCACAAAAGAATCCTATTCACCTCTGTAGTCCCATTGAGTCGTTCTTAGTGGAAACGCACCGGGCAAATGTCTGTGGAGATGAAAGCGTGTTTTATTTTGGCTCTTTCTTCTTCAGTCTATAGTGCTAATAGGCCTTCGCTTCTTTGTGAATGGCTGCTGCAAATATCTACAAACACTCAGTGGAAGGTGAAAGGACATGATGGTCTTGATCACCCCTCTGTCGATGTATATTTTTAGATGCATTCATGTGCGATGACCTTTTACCTTATTCTAAACGTAATTGGTCTGACCCTGTTAACATAAAGTCCAATCTCCATCATCATTGCAAAAAGGCAACATGATATGGAAATAACATGTCTGCGTGTACAACGATCCCTGCGTTCAGAGAATCAAAGAGCTCAGCTGTGGCTATTACATACTTTAACGGTAAAGCGATAACCCCAGACGTAACCGCATACGCTTCTCAGCGAACACAAAGAACAGATGAAAAACCTTTTCTTTTTTTCGTTCCACTGTCATCATCAAAATTTCAGTTATAAAAAACCTCATCCTCCGACATGGAGATGCTGTCTGCGTGTCGCACGGACCCTTCCATCGGCGAGATCCTCTGCTCCTGCGGTGGACGTTGTGTGTCCAGCGGAGAATGAGAATGACTGGGGGAATGAGACTGAGGAGGATGAGAAGGTGCCAGAGAGCTGGTGTCATCAGCTTCCATGTGCATTCTGTACAGGTGCCGAGGAACACCCAGACTCCCTCCATCCAACAGGAACTGAGAAAGATAGAGGCCCTCGGGGTCTGTGAAGACATCGTCATCATTGTAAGAGCAGAAATTAAAAAGACCTCAAGCACACACATCTCATAGAATGAAAATTATAGCATAAATGAATAAGCCCATTAAATCCCAACTCAATATAGAGCTCTGATCTGCTCGATCCATGAGTCATCGTGTCCCAGACACATTCAGACATTTCTGTTTTGCAGTCATTTATTCATGCGCCTGGCTGAAAGACTCATCAGTACCAGAGTAAAATGTTTTTTGCACCTGGCTAAACAGGCCATTTGTCATTATTCTGTGCTTACCACACAAGGGCTATCATCACCTTGTAATGAAATAACAATAATTTTTATACAAGCTGGGACAGAATGAGATGAACCAGGTGGTCAGAATGTACTGTGCTACTTTTATTGAAGGGATGTGAATATAAATATAATATCAATGGGATAATATATAATAATATATGGTTAAATAAGTTACAAGATCTTCAAAAAGACTATTTCCATTTACAGGTTTTGCTAGTGGACCCGAATAGCCAGTATATTTTCACATGGACCAGCTAACATAGCTAAAATACTTAGGGCCCTATGATTTCAACGATGCGTTAAACGCAGATGGAATCACGAAATCCAGTCATAAAAATTGAATTTACTGTATAGCGCAGAATGTCTTGGAATTTGCCAAATTTTGGAAGAATAAATCAGTAGGTCAATACATTTAAATCAAAATGTGATATGGACTAGTGTCTGTGAATATTAAGCTGCAAAAATACAATTTAAATATGAGCCCTGCATGTTCTGCATGTCTCTGTGTGAATCAATGTCACAGATGAGCGTTTTCTTTTACTTCACACACTGAAGTGTGCATGACGCTTGCAGTGTTTTCAGCTTCTGCCGCCTCAACATATGAGTACATGAACACATGAACATGATCTCTAGAACTGCTCTGAGAGTCACCTTATGTGAATTTTCAGTTTATTTTCAGAAAAACTATCGTCATATCATATAAACAGAGAAACTTAAAGATCTTCATAACAACGCATAATAAAAGTTTGGTTTAACTTGAAGAAACTGTGACAGAAATAAATTACTTAATGTAATGACACTAGTTCTAATAATAAAATTATTTAAACATTATTTTAAAGGAACATTTACCAGAAAAATTAGTTACCAGAATTTAATTACCAGAAAAAATGTAAATACACAACAGTATTTCTGAAAAAAATAATTAGTTTATTTTTATTTTTTTACATCAATTATTTAGAGATGCTTTTGATTATGCTTTTTTTTTAATGAAAACATTAAAATGGAATCCAGAAAATTTACTCAAAACACAGAATTTGGTAAAAAATAAAACTAAATTTGGGGGAAAACCATATTTCATAGGGCCTTGAAATGTAATTTTTGTTAAACTTTTAAAAATGCTGTTAAATTATGTAAGTTTCATGGTTTCAATTAATTAGACGTGCTTTTTGATTAATAAAACTTTATGTAACCATTAAAACAGAGTCTAGAAAAATTACAATAGAAAAAATGAAATGCAGAAAAAATTAAACGGTAAAAAGACAGAATTG